TGATGCAGGGGGAGGGCCCCGACGAGAGGCCCGTAGAATACGCCAGCCGTCTCCTAGGACCTGCAGAACGAAACTACACGACCACCGAGCGAGAAGCCCTTGCCGTCGTCTGGGCGGTGACCAAATTTAGAGGCTACATCGAGGGATCGGAAGTCGTCGTGAAGACCGACCATCAACCCCTGCGCTGGTTGATGAGCTTAAAATCACCCAGCGGCCGCCTGGCGAGGTGGGCGCTGACGCTCCAGGCGTATAACTTGCAGATCCAGTATACGCCCGGGAAGGTTAACGTCATAGCCGACGCACTGAGCCGCCCCGCCTGTTGCGAAGAAAACCCAGGTGGATGCGAAGTATGCTTGGTGACCGTCGACGTACCGCACAGGACACCAGCTGACGTGCGTGAAAACCAGCTGAAGGACCCCGAGCTGAAGAAGATAATTGAAGACCTGGAAGAGACCGACGATCCATTCAGGGGGAGGAACTGGTCGAACCGAGGATACCTGATATCCGACGGTATACTGTATAGATGCTTACCTGAGTCTGACGATGAAGATTGCACGTGTCTCGTAGTTCCACAGCACGAGAGAGAGCAGATACTCGCCGAGTTACACGACGCTCCAACCGCAGGACACTTCGGCGTCGATCGCACTCTGCAACGCATCCGGAGCCGTTACTTCTGGCCAGGCATGAGAGCCTTTGTTACCGAGTACATCAAACGGTGCGTTGCATGTCAGCGTTACAAGGCAGACAACAGGAAGCCGGCCGGACTACTCCAGACCCCTGCTTCAACCCGGAGATTTGAAGTCGTCTCTGTGGACTTATTCGGACCCTTACCGAAGACCGCGAAGGGAAACCGCTGGATTTTGATTATTGAAGACGTTTGCAGCCGTTGGGTTGAGCTCTTTGCCCTGGAGAGCGCCACTAGCGCCGAGTGCGCTGAGGTCCTCGTCGCAGAAGTGTTCCTGAGGTACGGAGTTCCCCGACGGATGATCAGCGACAACGGAGTGCAGTTCGTTGGTGAAGTAATGCAGCAGGCTTGTCACGTGATGGGTATCAAACAGTCGCTGACGCCGCTGTACCACCCGGAAGCGAACCCCGTTGAACGCAAGAACCGCGACCTGAAGCCCCAACTGGCGATACTCGTAGGGAAGGACCACACATCGTGGGATGCCCACCTTGCTGCCATCAGGTTCGCGATGAATTCCGCTGTAACGGCGAGTACTGGACATTCACCAGCTTACCTCACCTTCGGGAGAGAGCTGCGAGCCCCGTCTGACGCGGTGGCTGATATGAAGGCCATCGCGGAGAGCGACAACTTCGTGGCGAGCATCACACCCTACCTGCGGAAGCTGTCCACCGCGCTGCTGGAGGCCCGCGACGTGCACGAGCGCGCGCAGGCCACCCAGAAGGCGTGCGCAGACGAAGGTAGGCGCGCACCCCCGGATTATAAGGTGAGTGACCTTGTTTTGTTAAAGACCCAAGGGCCCAACGACGCCGCACCTGGCCAGACCGCCAAGTTCATACCCCGTAGGGATGGACCCTATCGCATTCGCGAGGTTGTTAGTCCTACGACTTATCTGCTGGAGGGGATTAGGAACAGCGAACTCATAGGTCGCTATCACGCATCCAACCTAAGCCCATTCATCGGTGACGTAGAGGCCCCTGTTAGGGAGAAGCGTAGGCGCGGACGCCCACGCAGGTATAGTCCTAGTCCGAACGCGAGGACGCTGTGTTCGAACTAGAGGGGGAGTATGTAACGGCCCTCCAAACACTAGTATTGTATAATCTGTGCTCTGACGCTCGGATTCGCATTTGGCGGGCTTGAGTTTCGCGGGTTCGCGCGCTCAACCGGCGCGCTCTTTTCAACGGCCGCTGCGCTTGGTGGTCCGCGAAACTCGACCTTATTGTCCAGTCGCGCCCATCGCCTCGACGCGTGCGAACGAGCTATCGTTTTAATGGTTATAAATTATAAATGTAAATCCGCCATTACAAAGGTATTTTTTTGATCTTTTATAATATTAAGTACTACTTTACCCTAGCAGGTGATAATGTTGTTCCATTTAAAAATTGAGAGAAAAATATGTGTGGCCATCCGGAGGAATATTATCCCCATGTGCGAGAGCTCCAAACTCCAAATCTCAGAAGGGAGGGTATGATCCAACTTGTAGTAGGTAGTCGGTTGTAGACAACAAAGTACCTACGTGAGCTACTGTAGACGTAGGCACCCCGACCCGGCATGACTCTGGCGGTGCCTAAATTATTAGAACTTTAAAAGCCTGTTGTATTTAGATTTGTAATTAGGTAGGTAGGTGGTGATTCGGGACGTAAAGGGCCTAAGGCCTAAACTGTTTAATGTTAAGGTAAAATAAATACTAATTCGACTGTCTTAAAGATTTATTAAAACATCAACACACATCAAAACATAATAATGTGGATGGTGGCGCCATATCACAAGTTATGAATAGTAAATTAATAAAGTTAATGAGACTTCAAAATTTGAAGTCTTATCCCAGAGCCCATTGTATTTTATAAAAGGCTTAGATAAAAGGCATGATTTTCTATATATATAAAAATGAAACCCGTTTTCCGTTGTCACGACTATTGATGTGCCGTTCCCGAGAACGCTCTCTCAGCTGAGAATATTCTCGGGAGCGTTCCCGGGAGCGTTCTCCTAAGTGAGAAAGGTTGAGAATCATGTTTATAAAATGGAAATAAACAAACTTTCTTAAGTAAAATAGTATTAAATGAAGTCAACACATAAGTGTATATTAAACAATACACTCTATTTGCAGTGAAAGGCTATATTCTCAGTGTTCCCGAGAATATTCTCGGGAACTTTCTCGGCAATATTCCTGGCAACTGCACCTTTTTTATATATTTTTTTTCGTCGTGAAATGTCGTTTTAATGATATGTAAGATGCCAGAAATTTCTTTTTACACGTAATTAAATAATGTAACTGTAATTTTTTTCGTTTTTAACACGCTCTTATTAGGTCGTCGTGTATGTAACTAACTATGTAATGGAACCTTAGAATCTGAATTACACGCACTTCTAAGTTTTGTATCATCATGAAACTTGGCAATTATATGTAGATTAAAAATGACAATACAATATTGTGGTACCAGCTGGTCTGATGATGGGACTGGAAGGTGCCCAAAAGAACTCCTAAACGAAACGGCGGAATGACATAGAGTTTGGGTTCATTGTATGTCTTTTCGAGATCTTTAAGTGCTAGATAATGTCCAGGATCCTAATGATGGAGTCAGGAGGTAGCCATAGGAACTCCTAAACGAAACGGCGGAAACTTAATGAGTTTGGGTTCGTTGGATTTGTCTTTTCGAGCACTTTAATGCTAGATGATGTCCAAGGTCCTGATGATTTTTGGCTTTTTAATGCTGTTAGTAATTAAAAGCGTGTTTTTAATTTTTTTAAACTATTCTTATTTGACATTATGGACATATATCACAATCGCTTAGTAAGGGCCTGTTTCGCCACTTCTGGATAAGTTGTGGATAGCCTGTCTGACGGATCATTTGACACATTTTTATAGAAAATACGTGCTAGCTAGATTGATCCGACGCTTAACGAATATATCACGTACATTAGTCTGTACGAGATTAGAATGGTTCTCAAACAGCTGAAAACGTAATCACGTCTGAGCTTCTGAAAGCAGGTGGAACGCCGCTACTAAAGGCTTTTCAGAAACTATTTGATTCCGTCATCCTCGAGGGAATAACGTCATGACATGACAAAGAAGAATGGTGATACTCCTCTTCAAAAATGGTGACAAAACCTTGTTGAAGAATTATAGACCCATTTCGCTTCTGAGCCATGTCTACAAGCTGTTTTCGATAGCCATTACGAATTGTCACGCTAGCAGGCTCGACGACTTTCAGCCCCCCGAACAAGCCGGTTTTTGAAAAGGCTTTAGTACCATATACCATAATAATATACGCTACGGCAGATTATACGGAAGATCAAGGAGTATAATTAGCCACTTTGCGTTTGTGAACTATGAGAAAGCCTTCGATTCGATTGAGACATGGGCAGTGCTTCAGTCTCTTCAACTGTGCCAAATTGACTATTGATATATTAAAGTGTTAAAAGGCTTGTACAAACAAGCCACAGTAACAGTCCGTTTTAAGATCAGGACCCAAAACCTATCCAGTTGCAGAGAGGGGTGAGACAGGGAGAGGTCATCACCACCGCCCTGGAAGATGTTTTCAAGCTTCTGGGCTGGAGCGGATTCAGCATAAATATCAACGGCGAGTACATAACCCAGACAGCAGACGATATCGTAGTCATGGCTGAGATCGTGGAAGATCTAGGCACAATGCTCGATGGTCTCAATAGAGTATAACAAGGGGGTCTCAAAATGAACATGGACAAGATTTAGCTCGGCTGGGCAGCCTTCGGGAAGCTTCACGATATTTTCACGCGGCTTCTCCGTCGCGTTGCCGCTCCGCTTTAAATCCGCTTTGAATCCGCTTGCAATCCGCCAGGGTGGCAAGGGCCTTAAAACTCAGAGGCACACTGATGTTCAAATACCGTAGCCGAGTCCTAAAGCCGCGGCACGCGTTCGCCACGAAAAGAGTGAGCAAGACTGCAATATCTCACTCACAAGTTTTATGCCTTGTTTATAACGACTAGTCTTAACGCCCAGTTAATAAAACATCGAAACATTACAATAAATTCACATATAAACAACAAAATTAAAATTAAAACTAAATGTATTCTGTCGAGAACACTGAGAATATTCCCGGGAGCGTTCTCGGTTCTCGAGAATATTCTCACTGGGAATATTGCCGGGAACGAGAACTTTCTCAGCGGCACATCTCTAGTCACGACATAACATGAAAACGGCTTGACCGATTTGGCTGATTTTTTTTTTGTAGTTTTCTAATACTCTGTACAAGGTTTTTACGGAAAACAATATATAGAAAATCTCTACGCTAAGGCGGTACGAAGTTCGCCGGGTCAGCTAGTAATTTATAAATATGTAAATAGCTTCTGGACTGACATAATAATCTTTATAATATAGGTTCAAGGGATAAACCAGACTCTTGGCATGCTGTCATTGCTGTCCTTACAGTTTCAGTTCGCCTAAGAAAGGATTTTACCTCAGATCATAGAAAGAGAATAGATATGAAGTCGCGCGTAACTACAACGAGAACCAGTGTCCCCACATTTCCCCCACCACAGCTCCCACACACACATTCAACTGTGTAAAAACAAAGCGACTGAGAGTCTACGACAACATGTGCAACCGGCTTAAAAGTGCTGTGATTGGCCAGAAGGCGTGCCTTATGGCCAATCAATGGCCAATCAATGGCCGCATGACGTGACGCACACTTTGAAAAAAGCAATTAGAGAGAAGAAAGATAAAATGGAGTCGATAAGATATCGATACTTTAAATCCTGGGGGCAAGGCTCGAAATTGGTTTAAAAAATGCTTGTATGAAAACCTTTTTATTATTATACGTTATTATTATGTTCTTTAACGATTTTTGCATATAGGAGTCAGTTCCATTTTGTATGGACGAAAAACTCAGAATCAATTATTGGGACTAAATGAAGTTACCTTATATTAATTTACCCCAACCAAAGCTCAATGTCGTTATCGATGGAGTATAGAAGTTATAGACTGACAAAGTTTGTATGAAAAGTCATGGGTTAAGTAGGTACTTGCGATTTTTACCAGTATTTACAATATTGGTAATATATTATTATTTACTTTAATAATAATAACAGGATCACTGTAATTATTATTAACTACTATCGCGCATTAACTTTTTAATTATGGCGAAATTCGTACCGCCTATGTTTATCAAAAATAATGCCTATATTAGGCTTTCAACTAGCTCTTATAGTAATTACATAGTTGACAGTTACTAATCCCTTCTACTATTGTTATTGTTTTTGTAAAAACTTAAAAATCGCAAGCAACTCATGATTTTTTCATTCAAAATTAGAAAATAGAAAATAATAATTTACTTCTATTTATCGATAATAGGAAACCGTATTAGAACACGAGCCCTGCACTATGTTACGACCGGCACATGCGGCCGTACTGTGTATTTTCACGCGTCAGTGGATATCGGAAGAAATAAAATACATTGCGCAGTAGTTACGCATGACATAAAGTGGTTGCTAACTAAATCGTCAATGTACAACGTGTTTGAATTTTTATCACCACTAATTTCGATATCGCAGTAAATGTCACGGCACTGAATTCGTTCGTAAAAATGTTTAGTTTTTTTTATTTATAAGCAAAATACCAATGGATTTGCAATACTTACATGTGGTAAATGACTTCATTGTTCCTGTAGTTCTTCGTTTCACTTATGTTATTGCACGTTACGACGCATTATCCAACAATATCGGAGAACATTTCCTCAGTACGACTGAATCGCGACTAACCTGGCGTCGCGGGCGATGTTCGTTTCTGGGCATATCGCGGAGACACGCGCCACGCCCCCGTTTCACATCTATTCCCTTCTATGATCTGAGGATTTTACGCAACTCCACCCCTAAGGGGATAAAGCGGGATCCACGTGTACGAAGTCGCGGGTGGCCGCTAAACGCTAATTCTACAACTTAAACTTGATTTGAAAAAGGATTTGAGTGGTAGGTGGTACGTCTCTCGTTCCACCACAGTCCACACAAAGTACAAAGAAATCCATGTCGATGTAACTAACATGGTTCTGTGTTGTCTCCGCGCTAAAATTCCGCGTGGTTAATCACTTTTTTTTTAAAGTAAATTAGAAACACAATCTCAAATGACTCCAACTTATGTTACAGAATTTCAAACATGGGCAATGGGCAAGCACGTTTGTCAAATAGTAAGAAAACTTTCGATAAGGTCATATAAATGTTACGGTAAATGTGATAAATTGAAAATTATTAATAATTACCGACAGTAAGAGTAATAAATTAATCACATTTACCAGTGATTATTTAATAATGTCACCTTAGTAGTACTAACAATAAATATCATAAAGAGAACACTGGTTCGTGTACAGCGCTCATGTACAGCCACACATTTTGAACGTTTTGATATCATAATTGAATATAATTTGGCCGACTATTCAGTTTTTAAAAGTGACTCATATTAATCACATTTACCAAATTACAAGGTAATTATTCATAATAACCGGTAACTATTCATAATTTTCACATTTACCGTAACATAAATACTAATTACCAAACCATCGTGAATTAATGATTATATTTATAGAGTATAGATATTACTGCAATTGGCGATATTCCATCATACAAATCAAAATGTGAATAAACTGTATTAATTTAAAAACAACCAAACAAGTAGTAAACAAATTTCACTTTATTGGGAGCAATGATAACAAATATTTGCTGGAAATTAGCCATTGAAAATTATTAACATTTTGTAACAGAAATAATACGTACATTATGGGATGAAACTACTAATGAACTCTAATTTGTTTATACATGTTTGATTATTTCTAAAAAAATACTTTTGTGTGTATAATATTTTATTTATTTATTATTATATTAAAAATACTACATCTTATTTTATTTACAAATTTAAAAAATCAACATAATATGAAAATTAATTCACACAAATTAGCACAGCCTATTGAATCGCAGACCAGTAATATTCAGTTTGGTGACAACATTCTCAATGGTACTGTTGTGTTGTGTTGAGTGCACTTTTAATTTTAACAAAAAAATATTTATTATTGCCATTGACGATAAAGAATTACTTTATATCAAATGTTACATCTGAGTCCTTAGACTGAGCCTGAAATATTGTCATTGTTACCCCTGGCAAAAAGAATTGATTGGTGTCTTAATAAACTTGAAAAAAATAGAAAAGCGTAAAAAATATGGCGAAATGCATACTTGTAACTTATCACATTATTTTTTACCTATACGCAGTGTAAAGGAGTACCACTAAGCTAACTTATTCTTTTATATATGTTACGGTAAATGTGATAAATTGAAAATTATGAATAGTCGCCGGTTATTATGAATAATTACCGACAATTGAGGTAAAAGTAATAAATGAATTACATTTATCAGTGATTATTTAATAATGTAACCTTAGTACTATGAAATATCATAAATTAACAATGGCTCATGTATAGTGCTTGTGTACAGCCACACATTTTGAATGTTTTGATATCATATATTAATATAATTTGGCATAATGAGTTTGGACTGTTTCTTGCGTAACATTACTTTGCCATAAAGCCCATAACATATTGTTTTGATTTAACTTGAAAAATAGGTCAAGGTGCGGCGGGGGTGGCCCTTGGGCCACCCCTAAGCCGCCTATTTAGTTTTATACACACATAAATGATCTCATATTAATCACATTTACCAAATCATGCGGTAATTATTCATAATAACCGGCGATTATTCATAATTTTCACATTTATCACTTTGACCGTAACATATACAGGGTGTTAGGTAAATGGGTATATGAGCCGACACTAGCCCATGTTAACATGGTCATATAAATGGTATGGTGAAGTCAGAAAATTGATATCTTCATTTTAATTATTTTAATTTTCATACAAATCGGATTTTATAAAATTTATTTTGTATTAAAATTAAAAAAATAATAATTTTGATATCAAATTTCTGACTTCACCATACCATTTATATGCCTATGTTAACATGGGCTAGTGTCGGCTCATATACCTATTTACCTAACACCCTGTATAAAATCAATTGAAACAAACGAAAATGAAACAAATATAATAACAAAAAAATCTTATATCTATTAGGATAACTACCTCATTTCAAACTAGAGAGTGACCCTAACTAAACAAATGTTTAATTAATGTAATTATAGCTTATTTTAATATAATGGAGAAACGAAATGATAACTATTTATTTCTTAGAATGACGTTATTAAAAATATTAACTATATAAACAAGGTGGAATTTTGTAATGCCACCTGGAGGGAAAGTACTCTTAATATTGTAGATCAGTGTTTCCCAAACTGTGGGTCGCGACCCACTGGTGGGTCGCGAGCGAACATTGAGTGGGCCCTGTCTGTAGAACGACACACCACCCTACCGATCCAACCTCTGGGCAGCGGACGAAATTTCCTATAGGTGGATCCCGAGTTTGGGAACTTGTATTAGATGAGTCGTAGCCCAGACAACTTTGGGAACCACTGCTGTAGATAGAAAATTGAACTGAAAGAAAACATTCCTTTATTTTTGAAAAGAAAGAGAACTGCATTCAAAGTGTTTCGACAATTTTTCGAATTTAATACCATACCTTATAATTTTCTGTACATAACTAATTAAAATAATTTAAGATTTCATGGTTTTCCTTTCATTTGATTTATCAAGTCTGTTAGTGAGATTTCATCCTTATACTTAACCCTAAAGATCGATGTAATAAAAATACAGAGTGTATTTTTTTACAGATTTTAGTTGGTTCGATTCCCGGGTGTGGCAAGCAAATTATTGGAAATCTTTGAATGCAGTTCTATTTCTTTAAAAAATAAAGGAATGTTTTCTTTGAAAAAAAAAATCTATCTACAATATTAAGAGTACTTTCCTTCCAGGTGGCATTACAAAATTCCACCCTGTATGTCAGTTGTCTTACATACAGTTGCAGATCTAATCTAATGTTACAATCAGTATTATAACTGTAAGATTATACCTAATTAGGTTATTATGCTTTTCTAAACTACACAATTTAGTTGTCTACATACACAAGCTGCATTTCGAACTTCGAAACGAGTTTTTTAAATTGATAAGTTCCCAGCTGGATTATTAGATGTAGTAGTAGATCTTTTATGATACCTAGGCAGCTACTAGATTTCACATCAAAATATATTTTTTTTCAATATTGAACTATATTTTAATACTTTCGAGTTCTTTTCTTTAGTACATAATTTAATATTTGTTGTTTATGTCAGAAAGTCTGAATGTGACTTTACTGAAGTGGACTATAAAGTAATAATCCTTTTAAAATTTTCATGAAAGCCGAAAAACATAAACCTTCCGTTTCAAATCAAACCTTAATAGGAATAACCAACCTCATAAAACCTTAATAGGAATAACCAACCTCATAAAAATAATAATATTAACTTTTAAGTCATAGGACGGATTTCTCAGTAATCATGTGTAGTAGACGTAGCTATGATTACAAATAGAAAGTAAAAGTGTAGTTGTTATTATTTCAGATAAAATAACATCTGCGACTGCTACCCAAAAAATGTAATATCTTAGGCTATTGTTATATTTTTGACAATATTACTATGTAACTTGTGTATGTTGACAACTTCTACACATTTGACTCCCAAAAATATTTTCTTAACCTAGATATTTAAATATTACTAGAAAATATGTATTCTATCAGATTTATATTTGATGATTTCGAATCAATTTGTATACAAATCAAAATTCGGTATTATATCGTTTGAAATAAGTATTCATTTATTTGTGCGCGTAGTACATAGATAATTTATAGGTCCAATTTATGGCGTATTTTTGTCTATTCACGCAAAAATAAATCAATATAACATGTTAATGTTTGTCATTATATAAAAATACATCATCAATATTCAATATCACAGTGTAGTTAACAAGAAAAATAAATAGTTAATGCATTTATATCCTTTAAAAACAATCATTATAAAAGGCAAGTTGAGCCAAGTTATAATAATATTCAAAAATATTAAATTACAACAAAGTGAAATCTGTGTAATTTTGTACTTCACCAATATATTAAATAACTAATAGCCAACAATCTTCAATAAATATACGAGTTTTAAATTTAAAAATATATATATTGCGTTTAATAATTATCTCATTTTATGGATAAATTAATAATTAGTCTTAAAAGTATTTAAATGATTACAAAGTACACAATTTTAAACAGGCATCAAAGCAATAAAAGTTGTTTAGCACTACTCTAATAAATAGATTATAATCATTAATCACCTTTCAAAAGATACCATTCCATATTTTGTCTGAAATTTTCAGTAGGTACTTTATGATAAAGTAAGCCTTTCCAGTATTCTACAACAGCAACGATAGCTTAAAGTACCCTATGGCGATGCCTACAGATATTATCAAAGCCTAATTTTTAAATATTTACTTCATTAAAAATTTAAAATGACATGTAAGTTCGGAGTTATACAGTTATATTTTTAGTAGACAAAATTGTTCTGGACATGGCCATAGATATGGAAAGCCAAGTTTACATGCGCTCAAGAGTAGTCCACCGTCAGCGACAAACGCTACGTTATGCGGTCTACAGTCAACCAGTTTACAAACAGACGCGACATCACGTGTTGATTAGCATTATGTAGCGCTATGTCGCGTGGCATTCATCACTAAACCGCGCCCTTGGTGGCAAAGCTAGATATGAATTAAAACACTGAAAGCAATTAGCGTTCAAGGGATCACTAATTATAAAGATATGTTACTACCACTAGAAATAACGATGAATTCAAGTGTATACATAATAATTATAACAAATATTAAACCTTAAATAATAAGTATCATAGAGACTAAAGTTTAATTATGGCATAATAGTAATTAATAAGAATAAATGATATCTTATGTAACAATCCTCTTAGTTGCCTTATAAAGCTTTCTAATGACTAATTCCATTGTCATTACCATATACAAAAATAAAATTGTCTTGGACAATTAAGCATTTATATGATAGACATAAAATTCTCTTTCTAAATAACTTTGGAGGTACATAGAACAGCCTTTCGTTTTAATATTTACATCTGCAGACATCAGCGTTTATAAATCAGTCAGTCCCCCATTGTTGTGACCAGATTTCACGTTATCCAGAATTTTATTCACGAACTCCGATGTCTTCCCAGCAATTTTCACCTCTGTAAAAGAATATAAAATATTTTTATTCATAGCATAAAACCTTTTTTTAGGCTAATTTACGGTCACCAGTTAGCGCCACTGCTGCACTGACGAGTGTCAGGATCATAATCATCAGTGACATCAACTGGTGGGCGCCAATACCTCTTACTCTATCTACATCAATTTATTATTTTAACTTCAAGAAGAATTTTGATAGGTTTACTATAAGGTAATGTTAAATAGGGTTGTTACTTGTTGTGGACACCCTAGTCAATTGATTTAACTTTTATGAGCTGTCGAGACTCTTCCTACCTAAAATTTTGTATGTTAATGGGGACTATGATGACGTCTATTTCACGAACTCAATTGCCTCAATTTATTGCTTTCAAATCTGCTAAAAATATAATTATAGTCAATGGAAAAGTAACTCAATTCAGGGCTATAATGAATTGTTTGGAGGAAGATGTACCTTGGAATTATTCATCAGTAATGTCAATTAACCAATATGGGCTTCGGTATTTTTGCTCACGCCACTGTCACGCCCGTATTCACAAAAATTAATATGAGGTCTCACAGTGCGCGTGGACGCACAGGGTGACACACGAACCAATCACTATTCAACGCTGTTCGTTCGATTTGATGCTTCACTTAATTTAAGCAAGCTTTGGTTGTGAATACGGGCGAGTGACGTAATAATAAACGACTGTGGCGCCAACTGGCGAGCTCATTACATTATAGCCTCGTCATTATTCGCAGTCACACTGAATACTAAGCGATTTAATCGCCGCGTTTGGCGTTTTTAAGTGTGCGGTGTGGTTGCTGCATTCAGCTTATAAAAAGCGACTAAATCGCCGATGCTAAAAGTATGTGTAGTATTACTCTCACTCAATGTCTACATACCTGTAGCTGAGTTGACTACGCTTGTTATATGAGAAGACCAATCAACATTACTTTGAGGATTTGTTACTCTGTTGCTTATTATTTGTTTCATTTGGTTTATTCCATTAAGAAGACGTTCTGAAAAGATAAGGAATAGTATTGCATAAGCCTTATGTATTTTATATTTTTATTGGATTAACTATTATCTTATTTTGAGATAATACTTACTGTGTTCTTGTTGTAGACCGTAAAGTTTTAATTTATTGGCCTCATGCTGGGCCTTTTTTTTTAATCTGCAGGCTCTAGAGGCAAGTTTGTTTTTCTCTTTTCTAGTTTTAGGCCTTATGTTGAAGGGCAATTCACTGACAGGAATCATGTCATTGATAACCTTTCCCAAATTGTCCAATTCTTTTCCAATAAGGTACAGTTTTCTTGGGTTCGGCGTAAGATCGTTGCCATCGCCTTTTCGGGCTTTACCACTGCAAGAATTAGAAGGAGATTTTTATAGAACCAAAAAGAAAAAGTAATGAAATAGTTGAGAACATAAGATTATATTTGAATACCTGTGTTTAATACCCCTGACACTACAACTAGGACTGAAGACAGGATCTGTAACAATGTTTAGCACATGTGGGTCCTCAGATTTCTTCTTTAAGATAAGTCTTTGACCTTTAGGACCCTTAGCTTGCACATTGTACTGCCAGAAGTATTTCTCCTTTTTTGCATTCTGCCGGGCCTGTTTGCTTTCTGGGCATTCATCATTTGATTCTGAAATAAATAAAATTAATTAAAATAAATAAAACACAAGCACATTATTGTTTTCAACAATAATAATTCGTGTCAGATTTGTCATACCATCTGATGATAGATCCTCATATCTATCACTATCCTCATCTGACTCAATATCTCTGTCATCTTCATCTTGGGAGAATTCTCCTGTGCCCGGACTCAGTACACCTCCAGACAATGAGGAAATGGAACCTGCCTCAGCTAGAGAACTAGTGGACAACAGATGCTTGCGAGGCTCACGGCGTTGCCAAATCTGTACACAAAAGCTACAAATAAATACTTCACTAAAAACTGACTTGATTTAGTGTATTTGCCATTAAGATAATTATCTTATCTTCTTGTGAACATGCACAGTTGTAAGTACTAATAAATTAACACAAAATAACCTGTTCCATGGTGAGATGTGTTGGAGCTGAAGAAGACAGCTGTGAGTGTTGTTGCTTCGAACTGGAAGGAAACGGGGGCAGCACTGTGGATGCTGGCACAGACTGGCCTAGTGCTATCTCACCACTGTACCCATCTAGACGGTGCAACAGTTCTGGCAGTTGATTCATTGGTTGTGCAAAACTTGATGATGCAGAACTATGTTGGCTGGAAGGAGAAAACGCTAGCTGGGCCCTACTGTACGGACTGCACGGACTTTCCACAGCTATTGGATTGGTGAGCTGCATCGAGTTTTGTGCTCGGCGCGATCCACTCATGGCTCCACCAATTTGAATGCAGTAACCACTCTCTTCTGGCAGCAACAAGTCATCAAAATTAAGGTCTTCCAATAGCGTATCGGGATTTGCATTTAATTCAGCAAGTGTAGGACCTAGTATTAAATCAGCTTTGTCTACTTGGAATATGTCATCATCATCCATTTTGAATGTTTCTGTTTTTGTTGAGGCATCATTATCATATGCTAATTTAGTGTATTGCATGTTAGGGACATTGTGGAAGGAACCAGTGAGATTGTCCTGCAGACACAGGTCTAAGTCTGTGTTGAAGTCCCCGAGGTCATTACGCCTCTGCGGGATAGGCACGGAGGCCGACATGGGGCCCAGCTCAAACGGAGACTCTTGTTTGATCTCCAAACCTGGCTCTAGAAGAAAGTCATGTGTGTAAATAGAATCCGACATTGCACGTGTTTGTGCAGAGTGACCTTGGCGTATAATAGTCTCGTTGATAGAGGCTGGCGCACGCGTCTTACGTCTCTATCGATTAATTCAGCGCGAGACCCACGTGTCGTACATAAGCTACACAATGTTTATTTACTTGTTATCACTAAATAAGTCACACTTCACTCATCTAAATCTTTAAGTTTTGATATGAAACTGATAAAATATTGGATTACATAACTAATAAACCACCAACACCAAATAAAATTCTATGTACTTGATTATTCACAATGACTTTCGATATCGAATTTAAACTGAATGTCTAGGATTTCACAAGCACGTTTATCAAAAATGTTTCACAGTTGCCTAAACTTGCTTAATAACACCTGTGTATTCCATTATAAACTTGAAATCCACTAGAACGAAAATATCTTCAAAACACAATAACAAAAACACTTCCCTGAAGATACAAGTTGAGAAGTAAACAAAGATTTTAGTATTATTATTCAGCGAAATCAAAGGTCATTGAAAAGGGATAGCAAAATACCGAGTTTCGCTGTGTTCGAAAGAGAAACATATAATTCGCACGATGACGGAAGAGGAAAGGGGCTATGCAGGGCAATCAAAAATAGAGAAAAATACTAGCTCCTGCTACTACATTACTTGATTTCAAGTGAAAATAAAAATATTTGGTATTAATTGAGAAATGGTATTGAAATATGGTTTATAATATTCCTCACAAAAAAACCTTAAATTCATAAAAAAAAGCGACATAAATATGAGAGAACTTGGTTAGATTCTCTAAGGAGATAACGTATAAAGTTATTACATGTCAAATATTTAGGCAGAAAGTGCCCCGATTGCGATAACTTTAACGTCTACAATTCATTGGCCCTTCTTCTGCAGTTGCACTCCGTTTTTCATTCCATCTGAGGTACAAATTTGGTATCACGGTAAAGTTTATGCGCTAAACAGAGTCGAACTACGCTGGGCGTAAAACGCACATCAAATTATGGACGACGTCGAAGATCAATTTATTGCACTACTTAGTACTTTTGACTGACATTTACTTTGTTTTGAAGAATTTTCTAACTTTACTTGATGGCGCAGCTGCTTCCTGTTTACGTCTATGCTTCGTTTCAACTAGCTATCAAAACGACATCGCGAAACGGATTTGTCAAAACAGCTGATGTTCGTTCGTCGTCCGGGCGGGTTGAAGATGAAAATTTTTAAGCGCGCTCTACACTCGCGCGCGATTCTTGCTGTGAATTCACGCCGCGATTCGCGCCGTGCACTTCGCGTTTATATGTGTCTCTCCACACTCGCGAAGCCTCGCAGTCTCGTTTGCGGCCTCNAGCGAGTGTAGAGCGCGCTTAAACGCGAAGTGCACGGCGCGAATCGCGGCGTGAATTCACAGCAAGAATCGCGCGCGAGTGTAGAGCGCGCTGGAGACGTTAAAAATTACCGTAATCGGGGCTCTGGGCTCGGATTGCGCTAATTTGTAATGTCTCCAATTCATTTGCGTTTCATCTCTAGTCCACGCTCCTGTTACGCTCCAATTTCGTTCTAGCTGATGTGCAATTTGGTATCGCAAATTCACGCGCAAACAATAGATTTATGCAATTTTCATTAAAAGTCCGGACACCTTATTTTTGAAACTAAAATTATGTACTAAACAGCAAAATAAATGTTCGTGAAGCGTTTGACTTGCGTTTGAAGTTAGGTAGCTTTCTGTCAGCTTTTACTCAAAGGCGCAATTGCATTCCCTTTACGTTTTACAGCATTGTTTGAACTAGCTGTCAAAACGACACCACTATTAAACGGATTTGTCAAAACAGCTGATTTTCGTTCGTTGTCCAGTCACGTTGCAGTTGAAAATTTTTAGAGCAATTGGGGCCCAGAGCTTCGATGTGATGTCACGACTGCTAGGCGCGCAGTTAACTCGACCGGGTTGTACACATGCATATAAAATAATAATATGATTCAACATTATGGGTATTTCGCCAAAAATGGTCAATTTTGCCTAATTTCCTTGGTATGAAAAAAATTTTTGTTTTTAACTATTTTTAGTTTCCCATTGCATTAAGTAGCAAAAACTAAGCTAATATATCTAAAAGGGGTGTCATAATTCGTTTTAGAAACAAAGTTATAAGGTCATGAATTTTTGGTAGCCAAGGAAATTATTTTAAACAATTGTTTCTCGTAAGTTTTCTTCTGTGGTTTGCTTTTTTTTGTTCGACCCATTTTTGTGTACCTTCGCAAGCAAACATTCCAATGAATATTGTATCATTACGACCTTTTTACACAACTAAGGGAGATAAATGCAGTAGATTGAGTTAAGAGTTAAAAACAAGTTGTTTTATATCTATTCTGATACCCGTTTCTTAAAATGAAAATTTTAAACTTATTCTAATAAAGAAATACTCAAAATTTGACTTTACGCCGAATTAAAAATGGTCTGTTATAATTTCCTAGGCCATTTTATGCCATGGAAAACAAGGAAATTAGGACCAAAGAAATTAGATTTATGCCTAAAAGACAACCCAGACAAAAACCTATTTACCCTATGCATTTACTATTTAAATCATGGGTTTACCCCTACAAACACTACATATGTGTAAATAAACAATAAAATTAATCCATTGTTTAGCTGCAAAAAACCGTCCAAAGAAATTGACTTTTTAGTAAACAAAAACCCAAGGAGGGACCTACTTATGCGATTTGACGCGAAACTGTTCAACGAAGTACTGTCCTGCCTCGATGACCTCTTGGGATGAAATGGCCGAGTGTAACGGTGCAGTGCATTACATTCTAAGTTCTTTCGTTTCGTTACTACAATGGTCGAAAAGAAGACCCAGGGAAATTATACTTTGGACTCGGACAAGAACTTAACTTCACTTTATTTCCTTCCTTTAAATATTTGACATTTAAAGTTTTTATTTTCCGATAGCCAAACGTTTCTCAAATATAAAGAGAGTGCTATTAGAATGAAATTACGCTTCAATTTGTTATAATGTGCCTTCATTTTGGCAAACAACAGTAATGGACATAACAAGGAAATTAGAAAATCGACTTTTGATTAAGTTTTTCTACGGTATTATTTGTAGTTTCTGCTATTGTAATAGCAAAAACAAATAAAACTTTTGATGAACTTTCCCATAAAAATAGTTTTATACATATAGATATAAAAAAACATGTGTTCGCCTGCCTGGACACAGAAAATTTACTGTTTTGGCGAAATACCCTTATTTTAAAATGTTTCCAGTTATTGAATCATTTTTGTTTTAGTTTTTTTATTCGCTTGGTTACGAGTTAAATTTATTTATTGCAATATACTAAGGCCAAATAGGTGAGCTCAATGAGCTTATGGTATTCTCTTCCAGTCAACTACCTTATTAGACTACTTAAATATCAGCGTAGGCACTGTTACTAAAACAAGTATTAATACTTGTTAGATAAAATATTACGTGAAAAGAATAGAAAACTTTTAATGGCAACACTAAAATGACATATATACATGGCGGATGTCGTAACAGCTGGACGTCAAAAAGTGTGGTGACATAAATTTTGTGATCATAAATATTTTTCAATATTATGGGTGACGAAAACATAAATTCTAGTAAAAAATGTGATAATAATAAACATAATGTTATAATTATTGGCGGTGGTATGGCCGGACTGGCCGCCGCCAATTATTTTGTAAAAAATGGTATGGAGGACTTTATAATTTTAGAAGCAAGAAAACGTTTGGGTGGTCGTATTATATCCATTCCTCTGAAAAATCACAACGTTGAACTAGGAGCTAATTGGATACATGGAGTACTTGGTAATCCAATATTTGAGTTGGCAATGGCCAACGGACTTGTAAATATTATAAATATACCCAAACCGCACAAGGTTATAGCCGCCACTGAAGATGGGAAACAGGTACCGTTTGGAGTCTTGCATGAGATACATGAGGCCTATGTCTGCTTTTTAAGAAGATGCGAAGAGTACTTTCTTTGTCAGTATTTGCCTCCACCCGATATTCATAGTGTAGGAGAGCACATAAATTTAGAAGCAACTATTTATTTGGAGCGTTTGCCTTCATCCGAAGAAAAAAAGTTAAGGCGTCTTATATTTGACTGTTTGTTAAAAAGAGAGACTTGTATATCTGGATGCAATACAATGGATGAAATAGATCTTCTAGAATTAGGCAGTTATACTGAATTGCAAGGTGGGAACATTATGATCCCTTCAGGTTTCAGTTCTATCTTAGAACCTATGAAGAAAAATATTTCACTAGACAAAATACTGTCTCAAAAACCTGTAAAAAAGATAACATGGGATTCAAATCATCATTCATCGGGAAATTGTTATGAAGATATTGGAGAGGAATCAGAAGATTCTGATCAGACTGTGATAGAAGATATTTCTAGGACTTCTGCCTCTGCTGCAGATAAAACTGTGAACCCGGGAGAAGGACCCTCAGTTAAAGACAATGCACAAAAACCAAAGAAGAAAAATCCCTTTTCTGTAGAAGTAGTGTGTGAAAATGGGGAAAGTTATTATGCTAATCATGTGATATGTACAATTCCATTAGGTGTTCTAAAAGAACAAGCTGCCAGTTTGTTTGAGCCTTCCTTGCCTCAGTACAAAATTGAATCTATTGAAAGACTATTGTTCAGTGCTGTAGATAAAATTTTCTTAGAATATGATAGACCTTTTCTAAATCCTGAAGTAACAGAAATAATGTTGCTTTGGGAGTCTTCACCAAATCCAGGAGACATGGCAGAGACTTGGTTCAAGAAGATTTACTCATTTAGTAAAGTGACAGAAACCCTCCTTTTGGGGTGGGTGTCAGGTAAAGAGGCAGAGTATATGGAGACTTTGTCCATGGAGGAAGTAGGTTCAACTTGCACAAAAATATTGCGTAAATTTTTAAATGACCCATTTGTCCCCGAGCCACAGAGATGTGTATGGTATGTTAAATGTTACATCAAAGTATTGCAATTTATATTAAAATGTTTAACTATCATTACAAATGTGGATTTTATGATTTCAGTACAAGCTGGAAGAAGCAACCTTATACCAGAGGATCATATACAGCACTGGCTGTTGGAGCTAGTCAAAGTGATATTGAAAGTTTGGCCCAGCCTTTATTTCGAAATATTCATGACAAAAAGGTATGAAGCCTTTACATATTATCTCTTCCAATGTTATGATTTTAGATACTATTCCCTCAAATGAACTTCCCCCTTTAGTAACTGCTATGGCTTAAAAATTATGTAAATTTTTATTGAAGTCGTATTAAGTTATTTTCTTCATAATAAAACAATAAATGCAGCCAAAGCTATGGTCTAAAGTTACTTAAGTTCTTATCATAACTCTGGTATTCATCTGATAACTTGCTATCAATGTAATAAAATATGATAATAAATTGGATATAAATGACTAAACAATATTAGATACACTAAGCTAGCTGAAATGTATTTAAAGAAAGAGTAGACAAAGTAGGCAGAGATACACATGTAATACAGATTGTAAGAAAATCCTACTATCCTATCCTATCCTATAATATTATAAATGTGAAAGTTTGGATGTCTGGATGTTTGTTATTCTTTCACGCAAAAACTACTGAACGGATTTTGATGAAACTTTACAGTATTATTGTTTATAACCCAGAATAACATATAGGCTATAATTTATGACGATCTGTGACAAAATAAATTACACGCGGGTGAAGCCGCGGGCAAAAGCTAGTATGTACATAGTTTGTATACATTTTGAAGTTATCTACTGATTGAAGTGAGATAAATGTAGTTGCCATATAGGCTAATTCAATACTTTCAGCAGATTTATGATATCTTTACATAATCCTAAAACCTTGTGAACAAGACATTATAATAATAAAGAAATTTTACTGATGCATATAAATAACATTTCAGCCTGTGCTGCTCTTTGCTGGAGAGCATACACACAGCAACTTTTACTCCACTGCACACGGCGCCTACCTCTCGGGACAGGCCGCGGCTCGGCGCTTGCTCGCTCCCGACGATCCGGCCGAAAACATCCTCGAGTGCCCGACGTCCTCCGACCTCTCTTCCTGGATCCAAGGCATACATCTAGAGGGCTAGTATTACACAATTCATGCCAATCTCGGCTATGAATTTATTCCTAATTTATTTGTTAGTAGATACCTATTTATACAATTCTCACATGACAATGGCAAAAGAGCCTTTTGATTACCAGTTTAATTTATAATAGTTATATGGATTATGTAGTTGCTTTTTAAGTACACATAAAATGAACACTGATACTGGCTAATCATTACTCGAAAATTGATCATCATTAAAATAGAAATTAGTTTATTAATAAGTATAGAGTCAAAGACAATGTATAGTTTACGGGAGTATGTGTATAATTTTTATTTTGTTTCATTTATGAATGCTATGAAATTTTAAAGTTAATGAAGTTGTAATGAAATGATTGTTTTTGTATTTTGTTTTTGTAATTGATACATGAAATGTATTGTTTAAGGACTTAAGATGGCAACTCTTTAAAATTTATTTACAAAACACATTATTGTTATTAAAATTTGTTACCTGTATTTTTATCAGGAGTGATTATCAAAGTATTTAAGAGGAATTTAAATTATGTAATTGATAAAATCCGTCAGGATCATCATACAGTAAGTAGTTAATTATTTTATTACATTACATACCTATTCAATACCTAAATTAAATTCAGTAGAACATAAATAATACCAAAAGATATTGCTTGTTATTGAAATCACGCCTACAGATGTTTTAGCCTTGCCCTTTAATGGGCTCTATGGTATGTCATCATTTGTTAGCTGATAAATGTAAACCCTTGCATACGTATTTCAGTCATACACTTTTATTCGTCGTAATACTTTGAGAATCACACCTCCTATTTGCACATCATTCAAATAAAATACCCTGCGAAAGATTTGATTCATCTGTGAGGTTTCTTTTATCTCTAAAACTAAAAGACAGTATAGTTTCGGAAAGACCCAGCTACACAATTTATTGTGCGTTTTAGTTAATTTATGCCAAATCGAGAACTAGGTAATACTCACAGAAACATACTACTGATTTTTAATTTCAGAGATTTTCACAGAAACTCCTATGTGCATTAACATAAATTTTTGTGGCCTATAAATCAAGACAGCAAAAGTTTGCTTGTAGATTTACACTTACTACTTATTAAAAATTAGAAAATATTTATTTGAAAGGAAGGCTTATTATATCTCATAAAAACATACAAATTATGTATAAATTATTTTATTATTACGCAATGCATTTCCCGATTCAATTGAATTTTTTATCGGATAGCTAGGATGTATTCGATTTGTCTAGTCAGTGCAAGGTTTTGTATCGCTTTAATAAATCATACAAAATAAAACAATGCGTTATTATTTCTAAGCATGGTGACTTGATCAAGTGTGGTCTCCACGTTGTCGCAGCGCAAAGTCAAAGGTAACATTTTGCCGAATGTACGCACTACGCACATGCTACCTTTTAAAAGCTGAATAAAATGTCTAGTTCACGAAATCTGTATCTTGCTGCGTTTGTGCTAAGCCATTTCCACCAGAGCTGTGCTGTACAGGGTGGACTGGAAACTATAAATGATCTTTTCTAAACTATACAAGGAGGATAAATCGTGTATGAAATTGCCGCTAGAGGCGCTAGGGTAGCTTTATAAATAACCATTGGGAATATAAAAGCCATTCCCAATCCGTCCCCCGGACACGGCCTGAGCCGAGGTCCGAGCCTACCGTGGCGCCCTCAGGCCGCGTCCGTAGTCCCCTCGATCGGGCCCACTAGTGAGCCCGCCGTAACCCTCTAGTTGGGTTCGCCACTGATCGGGTCTGGGACCGACGATCGCCAAAAGGCTAGAGTACCTTCTGTACTCGCCACTCTGCCCGGTGAAGCTGGAAAAGCTCTTCAAGCTACAAGCGCGCGTCCCTTAAAAAAAAAAGCCATTCATGAAAAATGTACGGTGGCAATGAATGACACTGTGGAGCTTAGAAAATAATTATATAAGACATGTTTTATTTTTAAAGCGCACTAAAGGATGCCCTCTTAAAATTATATTAATAGGCCGAGATTTCCTATGGCTTTTATTACGTTAAAAATAAAATACTAATATAACGGGGATTAATGAACTTTTTAGTTCATTAATCTCCATTATAAGCTCCAATTGAACAAAAACTTCACTAATCCCCGTTTAAGGAGAGCTGATCCAGATGGTTCATTAATATATATTTATGTAGATACTAGCTTTTGCCCGCGGCTTCACCCGCATGAAATTTAGTGCAACAGACTGCCATAAATTATAACCTTGTTAATCTGGGTTACAAATAATAATACTGTAAAGTTTCAACCAAATCCGTTCAGTAGTTTTTGCGTGAAAGAGTAACATACATCCACACAAACTTTCACCTTTATAATATTAGTAGGATAACAAGTTCAACTTCATACCAATATTCTGTCCACTTAGGTAACATGCAGTCGCGCGTTTTTAAAACGCGTGTGTGTGCTACAACGTAAGGCTAGATAGCCCCATTAAACCTAATATTATTTTTCACGTTTTAGAACCTTTTTCTGGGTTGTATTGGAGATTTAAACGAAAAACGCTTAAATAAGTATTCCTATAATTTATTGTATAAAAAGAAAATATTGATCTCTAAGTAACAACAATACAATAACAATAATGTTAGACTATGAGCTAAATAAATAAATACCTTTAATACCATTGGTTACAGTTTAAAGCCCAGAAATACAAAAAATAAGTATACAAGTTATAATGAGATTCTTATAATAAATTACATTATTACATAACACATTTTTTATTGATATGATGTATTTTTTTTTACATTAAAAAAAGTACAGTTTCTAATACATGGTCAAAACCATGTCACTATCTACAGTATGCGATAAAGCAAGAGTGCGAAAGGCGAAATGCATGACGCGCCATAATTTATGTTTAGACCATACTCCAGTATTGTCATGTAATAATATATTTCTATAACTTAGCTATAAAGAGAATTTTACAACTTTTTACAAACAGATTATGAGCTGATACATTAATATTTTCCATTAATAAATTCTTAAAATCTATGTTAGTATGTAATGTTTATAATGTCCCAAGTTATTGTACTTCAATTTACATTCTAAGTTACCTACATTATAAATGTATAGATTGGCTAACCAATCTAAATATAAATGATCAAGAACCATGATTTAAAGCAAAGTAAAAAATTTAGGCAATACATTATAAGCTGGTGAGTCAAACTTTAAGGCTAAGGTAAGTACACCTATGTATTATTTTGAATCCAAACAGAATGTAATAAATTGCATTGGCCTTATGACCACCAGTCAAATATAAAATAATGTCAAGTATTATAACTATGTCATTGAGTATTCTTTGATGTTCATGGCATTTAAAATAAAATCCATAAACTAACGGACGACATGCAATTCAACAGTTGAATTCTTAGTTGTGATTAAAGAGAGCAGTCTATTTTCATTGTCTCGACCGACCTCTTGCCAGGCACATTTGCCAATCAGGGGTACTTCTTCGAGAGGAGGGCGAAAGGCAACAAGCAAGGTCAGGCATAGTCCATCAGCTCCTGGATCAGCTTCTACATTCAGTAATCCCAGAGGCCTGTGTTGGCCAACATCTGCTCCAAACATTTCTACCATAAATCTCCTCAATGTTGAATGGACACTTTTAGCAGGATTTATTTCACACGTTGGAAAATGTATTGATGTTTTCTCACTCAATAACACATGCAATTTGTTTGTACTTCTTTTTTTTATCACTACAATCAACCTCAACAAATCCTTTGTGTGTAAAATTGGTGCTGGCATTAAATTTTTGTGCCAGGACCCACTGGAATGATTTTGTTTATATAATTTAGCTTTCTCAATTAAATGCAATATGTCATTAGATCGCAGTGTTATCTCTTGTAAGTTTGATATCCATTTTGCTTGTAAAGATTCCTTGTCTGCATTAGCAGGAGTTTTGAGTTGACCCCCAACGACATCACCAATTAATACAAATCTGTACCACATGCCGCCTGCTGTTTCAACGGCCAGTAAAGTCTTGGGGTCACAATGCATACCAGTTTCCTCTAAAACTTCTCTTATAGCAGCTTGAACGATAGTTTCTCCTTTCTCCATTCGACCGGCAGGTAAGTACCACTTGCCTGCACAGCTTTCTTTAGCTTCCTGCATCATTAAAACTTCATTACTTTCATTAATTATCACACAAGCGACGACGTATGTGACATTCTCCCCAAGTACAGGTTTGAAATTAGACGGTGTTGTAGGAGTTATACCCTGAGATTCAGCAACACTATTTTGATCAGCGATAGTAAAATCACAAAAATCGTTTTCATCTCCTTCCAAACCAAGACCTTCCAATAGTTTAGAGATGTTAGAATCTACTTGGCGCGACATGGTTACCTACTTTGTAACAGTAAATTTTATATGGAATGTATGAACAATGTGAACACTGATTATTCAACATGAAATAGTCTAACAGTACTGTGTAATTAACTCAAGTTTGATCATGGTAAGTAAATAAAATTAAAAACACAAGATTTCGACACAAGTTCAATCAAAAAATGTATGTTGTTTACGTCAGCCTTCGAAACCGGTAGATCCGGTTGTATGTTCCTTTTACAGAAAAAGGTCCGTAGTATTATAATTGAATTATCAATTGAATACGGTAAACCTTGACTTTTTTTACACTAGCTACAATCTTAACAACTATTGAACTAAAAGGAACACAAATTTTATGACAGTTTTGACATTGAGATTGTGTTGATTTGACACTTGACAGCTCTTCACCTGTCTGTGATTTCTGAACGAAAAGGGCAGGACAATTTTTCCAGCCCCTGCATAATTTTATTATTCACATTAATCACCGGTCCAATAAACTCACTATCATGTCAGTCCTGAAGACGAATATGCTGGTAAAAGTCTGACCAATTACTTAAGTGCTATAGTTCGATATATTAAAATGCTTAAATTACGTAATGTGCTTTTGCAGGTGCGATCCTTGAGCACCTCGTCAGCTGCAGCTCAGATGGTAAAGCCGCCGGTTCAAGTATTCGGCATGGAAGGCCGCTATGCATCGGCTCTTTATTCTGCAGCATCCAAAAGCAAGTCCCTTGACGCTGTCGAAAAGGAACTTGTAAGCTTCCAGAAGTCTATTAAAACCGACGCCAAACTTAAGGAATTTCTGATTAATCCTACCCTCAAGAGGTCCCTCAAAGTCGATGCTCTGAAACATCTTTCTACCAAGGTTAGTTGGATAGTGGTTTATGTCTGTATACCATCACTGCTAAAGTGAGGTTATGATTCAAACAAAATAAATGTTAATGATTTATTTCCAGACCAATTTATCTGCCACCACTGGTAACTTGCTAGGACTTATGGCGGAAAATGGCCGTCTTGGCAAACTGGACACAGTTATCAATGCTTTCAAAATTATGATGGCTGCTCACCGTGGCGAGGTTACTTGTGAAGTAATCACTGCCAAACCTCTGGACCAGGCCCAGAAACAGAACCTAGAAGCTGCACTAAAGGTAAGTACTATAAATTAATACTTAGTGCCAATATTACAATAATAGTTGGATGTTAATGATATTTTTAGAAGTTAGAAGGTAGTAGAGTAATTCTAAATGGAATGTATAAATCTGTTTCTAACAAGAATAAATAAACTGATTGTATTTACTTGGCAATCAATATTTTAAATAAAAATATCATGAAACTACAACAATGCATTGCAATTTATAAATATTCAAATCCTGCTCTTACCAGTATTTAGTAATTGACTATTTAACTACATAATGTGAAAAAGTTAAGTCATGATATACAAATACTTATGCTCAGCTTTCTTTGTTTTCAACTGAGCACTATTGTACTGTAATAGGTGTAGTAATATGACTGCCAGTCGGCATACATGGGAGGATACCTTACCCTCAAATATTGTTTGTTGACCACTTTCCTAGTAATACAAACATAAATATTTTGTTTCAGAAATTCCTGAAGGCCAATGAAACCTTACAACTCACAGCAAAGGTTGATCCTAGCTTGATTGGAGGCATGGTTGTCTCTATCGGCGACAAGTATGTAGATATGAGTGTTGCCAGCAAAGTCAAAAAATACACTGAACTCATCAGTGCTGCTGTTTAAATAAACAAGATATGTTGTAGCTGTGGCATGATTAGACAAGGATAATATACTATGTTTAAACCTCTAAAATATGTATTTCATTCTACAAAACTAAAATTTGTTTCCCTACCATAGCTCTCTAAAGAGTGCATTACAATTTATTACAAAACAATAAATTATTAGAATAAAGTTTATGTATTATGTTTATTCACAATGTCTAATGTCTACCACTTTATAAAAATGGTACCTGTAAGCAACTTATCATCATAATTGATGCAGTATCATTTGATCCAATAAATCCAAATTGCCTAACTTTATGTAACTAAAAGTTTTATTTATATTATGATAGTTTGATATTTCATGAATAATGAATGTTCAACTGTAAAGGACTACAAGTATGAAATTAAAGACAGTAGTAGGTGTATCAATAAAACAAGTAATGTAATCATTCAAACATAAAATTTAATGGTGCTCCTTGCACAACTTAAAAAAAACTTATCCATAACAAAAAATAATACTTTCAGATAATAACACTTTGTTAAATTATCTTCAGATTCAACATGAATACTTTTGAGATCAATATACAGCTAATATTGAGATCATTATAATTGAACTGTATCTTGTAACAATAAACAATATTCTACTATTATCCTTCCGTTGGGGCTGCTTCCCCTTTTAGCAAAGCATTTTCAGCTTCCAGTTCTGCAATGCGGGCCCTAGCTGCTTCCAGCTCATCGTCACCACCATCTGTGCCCAAGTGTTTGCGGACATACTCTAATGCATCTTCTGGTTTATCTGGTTCTTCATATAAACTTACAAGAACTTTTGTAAGAGCATCCATGACCCCAGCTCTTTCTAAATAGCGTCTGAACTCTTCTCTCTTGGAATCTATAGGCTAAAAATAAAAGGGATGATTTCGTATGGTATCAGGTAAATAAAATTATTATATACTGACCTAGTACCTAGTTTTGATAGATACATAGGTATGGTATTCCTTCTGAACACTTTTTAGACCCAAACCTAAATTCAGATTTTTTTTATTAACATGTAATCCAATTTTACACTACCAAACCAACAAGGAAACTGGTTGTAATCACTGATTTGGTTCACATATTTCTGGAATAGCCAAGAATACCGGCCATGAAAAATGTTTTGTTTGGAAAAATCGTAGTTACTCACTTTGTACGACGACATTTTATTTAGTTGAAGTTGTATGAGATCGCTTAATTGCTTATTTGATAACAATTAGTTATTTTTATGTATATTTTATCGATCAATTCCAATTTTCAACAAAATAAAAAGAACAATTTGTTTTCTTCGCTCCGTAAAATCGCGACGGAAAATGACATTTGACATTTAATTTTTTTTTCTGTACATAAAAAAGGTTGTGGTTCCTAATTATTTGGCCAAATAAAAACCGACACTTCCGATTTTAAAAATAATCGGAATCGGAACTATGGGTGGCCATGGGTGGTCTCACAGATATGGATAGAGGTGGTCTACAGATAGATTTTAGGATTGAGGTCATTGAGGATAGTTCTAAGTTCTACCAGACCAGCCAGCCCTAGACTCAATAAACTCGATCAAAAAGTGCCACTTGTAAGAGTTGTAAGCCGTGCCACCACAGCCCGCTGGTAAGGGCAAGGACAAAGAGTATCTTCTTCTATGTGGTAGACACAAAAAATGTAGTAAGCATTTAAAACTTCATTAATGAACTTGAACCCTTCCTAGAATTAATAACCAAATAACACTGTTCAGTGCAGTTCGCGCCACAAAGATGAAGGTGCCATGAAAATATTTTGTAAACGGCGAGTGGTATCTGAGAGGAGCCAAAGCTGGAGCTGAGTTAATTCAAATTTGGATGGGAATAAACAAACAAAATGTAGTGAATTAGTTTTTTATTTGTGTACAGCCACAAGTTTGTGACAATCGAAAGTTAAAAATAGCAAAGGCACATCGAATAAGCCTGAAAATAATATTATTGAGTACATAAAAATAACTTATTAACTCAATGTTACCAAATTACAAATGAATAAATGAAAATACTTTTTACTTCTTTAAAACTAATTAGTATGTAAGCTGACTTAAGATTCATCATCACTTCCTGCTGGTTGCTTCGGTTTAGGACCTCCTGCTCGCTTGGCCATGATAATTTGGTCAACCTTTAGGATTGTTGTGGCTGCTCCTACTGCATATTTCAATCCCCACTGTTTAAGAATGTAAGCATCAAGAATACCTTTTTCTTTGGCATCTGTGACACCATTGTTTTCAGAGTCAATGTCATATCCTGCATTTTTGTTACCCTCCTGAAAAAAGAAAAATCATATAAAATATAATGCAATTTAAGAAAAATCTTGGTCAAGTTATCACAAAAGTTAGCATACCGATATTCCCATAGATACATGTATAGGCATAGCAAAGGGAATCGTTTGACTATTTATAGTAAGTTATCTTGGAATATTTTGGTCAACTACCCAGTTGATTACTATACATACCTTGTGTGCTTTGTAGATGTTATTGACAACCTCTGTAGCATTGGCACCAGAGTTGTCTGCCAGGGCTCGTGGAATGCTCTCTAAGGCGACTGCAAACTTCCTTACAGCATATTGTTCAAGTCCAGGAAGGGTGTCGGCATACTGAAGAAGCCTTTGAGCCAATTCAATTTCTGTTGCTCCAGCACCAGGGACGAATCTGGAAAAGGATTTATAAACTCAGTATACATTTTATATGTTTACATATTTATCATATCATGAAACTTATGGAATTATTGTAATGATAATAAACAACATTCTTGCTCAGTTTATGTTGTACTTACTGCCCATCACGGGTGATGCCCTTGAAAGTGTTGACACCATCATCAATAGCTCTCTCAACGTCATCCATGAAGTTGTCAGTGGACCCCCTGATGACGACGGTGGTGATGCGCGACTCCGTGCTCTCCATACGGAACACAACCACTCTGGTGTCTCCTACTTCCTCCACCTTCACAACATCACAGTAGCCGAGTTCCTCTGCAGTAGGAGTAGTTAGTCTGGGCAGCACCTTAAATTCATTCATTGGTTTGAATGCAATACTCCAATCTATTAAAATACATTTGTATACTACTAACATTAGAATTACTTACAGTAGCATTGACAGTTTTTGCCAGACGTCTGAGGTCAAATTTAGAATTGAGACGTACTGCCATTAGTCCATGTTTGTTCAGGTAATGTAGAGCCATATCACCAAACTTAGCTCCAGCAACGACTACCTTCACACCTGCATCAGCAATGTCCTTTATTTGCTTTTCGAGGAGTGACTCCTCACCACGACTGAAGTTCAGAAGTTCATCAGCTGTTTTGATCAGAACGGTGCCTTTGGTTTCAGTTTGTGTGATATCTACAGGGCAAGAGTACACAGCTACTTTGGCTTGAGTGGCAGAACCGACATCCCCTTCTACTTCACGTTTGAATACCATTCCAGATAATACTTCTGATTGGAGGAGACCAGCTCCAAGGACCTGAAAGTATGAAGATGCTTGAGAAATGTTTAAACATAACAAAAACACACTTTGATTCAATAATTGAGTAATGCATACCTTACAAATCCTAACATTGTCCACATTGAAAGTAGTTTTCTCAGGCAACAAACCCACACAGGCTTTAACCACGAGTCCAGCAATGAAATCTTCATAACCATACTGTTTAGACATAATAGAAGACTGAATGGCCTGTGTGATTCCTGGAATATCTTTGAAGTCAGTTATTTTTTGACAGACCAGCTCGGGAAGGATTTCTAGACACTTATCAAGTGCCCTCTCATAGCCCTCAGCTATCTCACTGGTTGTTACGCCCAGTCGGAGCAATTCTTCAGCGGCTTCCAATAGAGCACCAGACAACACAATCACAAAGTTGGTACCGTCACCCACTTCTGCATCTTGCATTTGACTGCCGAGAACCATCAATTTGGCTGCTGGGTGCTCCACATCGAGTTCTCTAATAATTGTACCAGCATCGCTAGTAACAAACTGTTTGTCAATGTGGTTGATAATCATTTTGTTCATCCCATTTGGACCGTAAGCAGATCGAACACTTTGGGCAAACTGTTTACAAGCAGTTATATTACGATATACTGCTTCCTCCAAACCAGAGAACATCTGAAATAAATAAATTTTAGATAAAGCATCAGACAAAATTTCAACAAAAAATATCTTGATGTTTTAGACTTTTGAAATATTTATGAGATAAAACCTATTTTTTTTGTTATTTTAATACTAATTTAATAGTTACCGAACAGCATTATTGTTAAATTTTAGAGTTTTTCGCAAAAATAGAATCATACTGTTAACCACACGGCACATGACAAACCACCGGATTTAATCATCTTTGGTTATACAGTAAGAACTTACCCGTGCTCCCTCTTTCAACATCTGGGGCACTCCTGGTGCTTTGGGGATGTGTAAAGCCATTGTTAGAGGATAATACGAAATATATTTTCAACGATACAGGCAAATTTCTTCAATCTGAAATTCAAGAATTATAGCCTCGTGATTTCAAAGATGACTGAAAAAGAACCACAGATTACTTATAAAAGAACTGAGTGACATTTGTTTTTTTTACAAACTTGTGGCAAAGGGATCTACTTTTTTTTGGTTGACAACGATTTAAAGATAGACACTAATTTACAAAAAAAAAACTAATAGAAAAAAATGCCTTTCTCTGAACAGAGATGTGTCTATCAGGCTAACAGGAAAGCTATCAGGCCATGAAGAGCTATGATGAAGGGTGGAAAGTTAGCTTCTCCCAGAATCATAAACTCACACACAAGGTATTGGCCATCTTACCTTCAGAAGTCGAAACATGCTTTTTTCTTCTTTTGCTCTCGCGGATTGCGTTTAGCCACGAGTGCCACGACAGGGTTGGATTAGGTAAAAGCTATGGTAGGGATTCTCTACCATTTACCCATAGCTAGGAAAACGAATCAATTTGCTTTTATTACATTTGTCCAACACTGAACCGTCCCAGCTATAAGAGGGCGCTACTATAAATACTGGGTTATGGAGGGGTCATGAAGGGTCCCATCAGGAAACCGTTTTAATCCATATCTGTGGTTTTACCTATCACATTGACAGGGCGGCGAGGGCGCCACCATCGTTCATTATCAATAAATCGATAACATTCCAACGATACAATGGAACCAGCGATCCGGTATTGACTGTGGCGCCCCTGTCAATGTCACGGGTGGGGGTGGGACGGTTCAGTGTAGTTAATTTATACTTTGTTTATTAGTCCTACCATTGACCAAATCGAGTATAAAACATTTCTGGGATTGAGACGGGATCACAGATGAGACGGGATTACGGGACAGGAAACAGGGGAGGGCTTACCACTAGATCACAGACAGAAGTGGTTTCTTTCCTCAGATAGGGGCTAACGTAACGCTGTATTATTGCAGGTCTCTGACTGCCCAACAAACCTAATGTGAATGGAGAAATGCAAACAACGAAGACATTGCTTATAATGTGTATATTTATTTATTAAAAAATAGATTTTACACGTTTTAAAATTACCTAAATCTGTAAGATTACAATTTCCTTTTTATGGACATAAAATCAAATGTCCTGTGGATGTTACATTGCAATCATCATCACAGCACAGGACTTTAATTATTAACATAGGTACCTACATATTTTAAATTCATACAAAAAAGATCAGAGGTCATGTAATTAATTGACAGTTCGTAATAGTTCGTATGCACAAAAGCTGCCTAACTTCCAACTTCTAAAGCTATGCGCGCACGGGTGACTTTTTGCACATTTTTGTCACCGTGACAGTACATCTTTTTAAAGAGAGACATATTGTTACGGTGACAAAAGTGCGCGCGCGCCTTTACGCAATCGGATTTAGTGGTGGTAGTAATACTAGTTTTGAAAAACGACTACACATTTTCAACGATTTTCAGGGTCGATTTGTTGGGAGCTATGAAAATTCGCATATTATATTCAAATGTGAACTAACTACCTACAAGAAGATTGCGAGAAAGTTGCTGTTGAACAAACTAAAAGTACAATAAAGCAATCAATAAAGAACGTGTTTTTTGTTTTTATAAAAGTATTCGCAAACAGAGTTTCGTGAGACATGTTGATTGAATGAAATAATTCCGTTTAAACCAAAAAGTCTGTGAAAATACAAATACAATATTTACTACATCTACATCACTAACAAACGTCACTACTATTTACTATTGATATACACATACACAATATCACGAATATTATCATTTGCGCTAGTGTTGTCAGGGCCTTTCACTTAGTCTAAGTATGTATTCGATAGACACAGTAATATAGTAATATTTCAGTACAGAGCGTAGAAATTATTTCAGAATTAGTTTAGAATGGCCCTGCCACTGAACAGCGTTTGATGAATAATCCTGAAGTATTATAAAAATATACCTATATACATACATTTAATAGTAGTAAGATTAGAATTTTAATTAAAAATACATATTTGAGATCCATCAGCATCATGATCAGTAAGTAAACCATGTCCGTAGACCACTGATGCATGTCGTCGAGTTCAAACCTCGGCTGTGCTGTACAGTTCATGTCAGCATTTTTTTTTACATCAACACCCTTGCAATAGGGCGCTGCAATCGCCAAGTCAGTTTTACCATTAGTCTAAAATCCGATTTAGAAAGTACCCTAAACCTTCTGCTTACCGGATTGATCTTTAAGGGTGGATTCGACCAAACAAGAGTAAATATTAATCTCAGAATAAATAGTCAGTTTTGACATATTTCCCATACTGAAACTGTCAATGTGCTAGTTAGTTACTCCTGGTATAGGAGTTATTCTCGGATAAAAGTTTGTTCGAATCGGGCCTAAATAAATATATACCTACACAACACATACAAAAGTATCACAAGCGGGTGATCTAAAATACGTTTAAAAGCCTGTGCACGAATTTGAATGAAAAAGACTCACTTGCCTTAATTATGTGAGATTCAGTGATTTGAAGACTTTGTAAAACATTGAAAATACAATATAGCTTTGTAGGTTTATGTCTATTCATTAGATAGAATCACAGTACACGTAATAATAGATACTATCCGTTCGCGATAAGTTTGCCGCTGGCGATATGACGTCACTCGAAGGAAAGCGTCTATAACTATAGCAAACTATATTGAACATATTTTTTATTTGTTAATATTGATAAAAATTGTGTATTTGCGTAAAATAAAACACTTATTTGCGTTTAATCACTAACTAATTGCGTTTAATCGCGGTTGGGGGAGGGGACGCGCATTCCACGGACCGGCAAACTTAGCGCGAACGGGTAATATAACATTTATTACGTGTAGGTGAGACAATAAAATGACAGTACAGATTGAGAATCTTATGTCGCTAACTTAATATTGAACTGTATTGAAGTAAAAATATTAAAACAACGTGTTACTAGAATATTAAAACACGTTTTAGTTCTGAAAATACATAGTTCATTCAAGAATGATTGCTGATAGGAAAGTTAAGTATAAAACATAAATCTAAGTATTCGAAAAAGTTTATACGAATGTAATAGTGGAATCGGATGTAAGTTAATACTGGTTACATTGATAAAAGAAAGTAATACTTTGTGTCGTCAACTACAAGTACAAAACTTAAAGTAAAAGATATTAAGCTAAAATATCAATGGTTACTATGTAATAATTTACACAAAAACATAATAGTTTGTATAATGTAAAAACGATAATAAATATGGATGGTATTAATTAATTATAGTTTTTTAAAGTCCAATAGCCATTATCTTATAAAAATATATTTTAGATCAAATAATTACTTATTTCATTGATTTGGGGCAAAAATTTGCTTTTTGAATTCACACCTTCAATGTTATCATAATAGCTAGGAGTGTCAATATGTAAATACACAAAATAACTAACAGTCTCTACAATACAAATTTACGAACTAAAAATCTATAGTATTATTTCTACCACAGGTATTTTAGGACATTTTCAAATACATTGAGATCAATTACCGAGAATGTAGTTGAATGCTGCATCCAACCGAATTTGTACCGCTCGTCTGAACTGAAACAAATCCCAACTAATATTATAAATGCGAAAGTAACTCTGTCTGTCTGTCTTTTACGCTTTCCCGCTTAAACCTCGCAACCGATTTTGATGAAATTTGGCATAGAGATAGTTTGAGTCCCGGGAAAGAACATAGGATAGTTTTTATCCCGGTTTTTGAAACAGGGACGCGCGCGATAAAGTTTTTCTGTGACAGACAAAATTCCACGCGGGCGAAGCCGCGGGCGGAAAGCTAGTAAGTAGATAATGATGAGTTACACTAATCCAAAACTGTACAACACTTTAAAAAAAATACACATTCGACATTGTGTGTAGCTTCCCCTTTTACATTGGGTTCAATGTAAAAGGGGAACCTACACACAATTTTTCCTTTTGAGGTACCTACGGATAGGGTTTGCTGACTCACTGTGACGTCACTCACCCGGCGCCCGCGCGGCCCGTGCTCAGAGGCGCGAGCTTGCGCCAGCAGTCCGACTGAGCGTACAGTCCAATGACTCCTGTGACGTCACTCACCCGGCGTCGCGCCGCCTCAGGCGATGACGTAGGTGAGCAGCGAGTGGCCGCGGTATCAGAACAGGTTGCGCGGCGGCGGCACGGCCACCACGGCGGCGCCCGCGCGCCCCGTGCTCAGAGGCGCGAGCTTGCGCCAGCAGTCCGACTCTGAGCGTACAGTCCAATGACTCCTGTGACGTCACTCACCCGGCGTCGCCGCCTCAGGCGATGACGTAGGTGAGCAGCGAGTGGCCGCGGTATCAGAACAGGTTGCGCGGCGGCGGCACGGCCACCACGGCGGCGCCCGCGCGCCCCGTGCTCAGAGGCGCGAGCTTGCGCCAGCAGTTCGACTCTGAGTCGTACACTTCGACGACGCACAGGTACTGCACTCCATCATAGCCACCTACGCAAAAAAAATGTCACAGTTAAAAGATTTTGAGTCAGAATCTGTAATGAAGCGTAGACCGTAGAAAGATATTGAATTAAAATTCGCAGACGCGCGGGCTGTTTTATGCTGATTTTGATTTTTCTTGCTGCCGCTGCACGCAAAATTCGAGGCAGCGGCTTTATCGGGGTTTGAAAGGATAATTATCAATGATAATTATCGTGATAATAACAGCTTGATAATTATCGGTTGATAATGACAAAAAAATTCGCTCGTGAAAGTGATATGTAATCGAAGTTTTTGAACGTGTTTTTCCGCATTTGAGTCTACTGGTGATGAAACACCAGATTTAAACAGATGAATAAATCCCATCTATTTGCCTCCACAACGATCACTCGTTATCTACCGTATTTTTTTTTCTATTTTCCACAACGCTTTATGCGATGTCGAGTTATTCGCAACGAATAACTCGACTTGAAACAATGTAACATCAGATTTTCTTATGAAACAATATGACAAATGTATCTTATGCTGTTGATAATTATCCGATAATTATCATGAAGCGTAATTATCTTGATAATTTCGAACCCTGGGCTTTATGAGGTTCTTGGTCCACCTTGTGGGTGGACGCCTTTTATGTGTACATATTAAACAAGCGGGTGCTCACCGACGGCGACGATGCGGTCGCCGAGCAGGCAGGAGCCGATGGCGTCGCGGCCGTAGGACAGGCGCGCCAGCAGCAGCCACGAGTCGGCGGCGGGGTCGTAGCGCTCCACGCACGCCAGCCGCCCGCCCACCGTGTTCGCCGGCGCCTCGTGCCCGCCCAGCGCGTACAAGTAGCTGCCCGCCGCGCACACCTATGGAAATCGCCCGTATTTCTCTTAATCTAAACATTAACTCAAAGGTGACTGACTGACTGACTGACATAGTGATCTATCAACGCACATCCCAAACCACTAGACGCTGATTTTGGCATGCAGGTAGATTTTATGACGTAGGCATCCGCTAAAGACGAAGGGATCCCGATCACATCCCCAAGCAGGCTCTGGATTGGAACCCCCAAGGAAAACGCAAACGTGGTCGCCCCAAGCAAACTTGGCGGCGCACTGTGGCAGACGAGGCGAAGAAGATTGGCAAGACTTGGAGCGAGATCAAACACATAGCTCAAGACCGAACGCGATGGAGGACTGTTGTGGACGCCCTCTGTCCCATCTAGGGGACATAGGACCATAAGTCAAGTAAGTCATCCGCTAAAGAAGGATTAAGAACTCTACCCCTAAGGGGGTAAAACGGGATCCACGCGTACGAAGTCGCGGGCGGCCGCTAGTTATTTATTTACTTGCACCCCAAAAAGAAAAGAATGGCCTAGATGTTGGGCTAGCCATTCAAGATGATAGTACTCGCTCGTTCAAGCTATGATGCATTTCAGGGCCCCCTGAAAAATGTTTTTTTTTTTATGCAAGACAAGGCAGGTATTTGACCGCAATCGCACTTGGTGTTAAGTGAGATGCAGTCCCGGATGGTATATATCTGCCCTGTAAGTGTCTATTCACTCTCGCCTTGAAAAGGCCTGGATTATAGTGTTCAGGAAATACAGCAGCAGGCAGCGAATTCCCGCCCTAGCTGTGACTGTGAAATGACTCAAAGAACATAATAAATATACAAAACATAAATAAAAAAAAAAAAAAAAAAAACATGTTGAATGGACACTTTAGGTGTTACTACTCACGCTGACTCCCCCACGGCGACGCGTCATAGCAGCGCAGTTGGTCCAGTGGTTGGTGGTGGGATCGTAGCACTCGACGGAGCGCAGGCAAGCTCCGCCGTCGCGGCCGCCCACCGCGTACAGTCGTCCGCGAAGTGCCGCCACGCCGCAAGTGCTCCGCGCACCCGTCATCGGCGAAACTATGGTCCACGTGCGAGAACATGCGTCCCATCTGCGGTAATATAGCCTTTATGAATATTGTTAGACATTATGAAAACCACATAATCCTAGAAAAAAAAGAATGAGAACGAAGCAACGGGACGCGGCTGAAGTCCATAGCACGTTCCGAGCGCTAGTGTAATCGCGCCAATTAAAACTTGCTTTTTTACCCAGGAAAAATCCTTATTCTATAAAAAGAAGAAAAATTGTACATAGAAGAATTAAATAAAATTGTATGCTAAAGTTGAACCTGATAATTTTAATTACCTTTCCACTGAATTTAAATATATCCAGCCATCGTGCCCGCCGACTGCGTAAATAGGCGAATTAGGCCCATCTCCTAAAACTGCAACTCCTAATCCATGTCGGTGTGTATTCATCGGCGCCAGTGTACTCCAACTTAATGACGTCATATCAAAACATTCCACCTGTAAATATAATTTCAATGTATAGTCTGGTGTGTTACATAATTTGGAAGTTGAGTTGATAAAGTAATAATTTACCGTATTTAAAGTCTTTAAACCGTCTCTGCCTCCAACAACAATAAGTTTATTTTGCAGCACTGCTACGCCAAATTGTAGCCTCCTTGCGCCCATCCTCATAAATGGAGTCCATGTGTTGGTTCTGGGGTCATACATTTCCATATTGCTTGCACCCTGTTTTAAAAATAATGATACATATTATTACCAAAGTAAGCAGTAGTGCAATTGAAGAATGTTACAGTACAGTTTTATCTAACTGGCTTGATGTCACAAAGTTGCAAAAATCTCCCAAAAGTACCTTATAACCATCCATGCCTCCGATAGCTAACAATCGTCCAATTGTTGATGTCCTTGGCCTGGTTCTGTGCGAGAAAAGCAATGAGCGTCTTTCGGGGAGAAGATGCCACTTGACAGCTTCCATTATCAAGGGTTGGCACTCTGGGACATTACCACATGCTAGTTCCACTTTATCGATTAAGTACTGAAATTAGAAGATTCACATAATATTATTAATATTAATACATAATCCTTGTAATCAATATGTAAATTGTGACAATCCTAGGGAAGACTTCTGTCCAGAAGTGGATATCATTTGGCTGAAATGAACGAACAAACAATACATAATACTGTTACACTAAAATAAAGGTGTTATGTGACAATAGACAATACCTCAGAAGAAAGTAATGGTAACTTAATAAGCTTCAGTAAAGTTGGCAAATATTGTTCTCTGTTGGCACTGTCATGTTGCACCCATGTCATCAGACTTTCAAAAACATTCTCCTCTGTTATCACGTTGAGGTCATCGGACTTGAGCAAACTTGCAAGCTGATCCATTTGCAGAGATAAGAACTCTTGATGCTTCACCACCTATTAATAAAGCTTTGCTGTTTAACATAATGTTGGTAAAATACAAACTAAACAAAAGTAAACTGATGATATATTTTACAAAACAAATAAGTAATCTTTTCATAATATCTATACAATCGTTTTATAATATTATGAAATAAATTATTTATTATAATACAGTAGAATCTCGATTATCCGGACTCATTCTTCCCGGTTCTAATTACCGATTTAGGGTCCTAGAGCCATCAAAACGGTACGGCGTGCCACCGTTACACCCAATCATTGTGAAAAGAGGATTCATCTAATGGTCTAATGATGTATTGAAAACCCTTTCTATTGTAAAAAGTTAATTACTGTTTGATTTTACTTTGAAATCGATTATCCGGAATACCCCTGGTTCTAATTGATCTAGATAATCAGGTTTCTACTGTAGGTAATATAGTTTATTCACCTGCATGAAATGCTGATAAGTATACTCCAAAGCACTCTTGTGTAAAGTCATACAAGACTGCTGCTCAGCGAACAAAGCTATCCCTAAACAGTTACATGGATCAAGCTGCTTCTTTAGGAAAGCACAACAAGCATCTGTGACTGTATTTAGCTGCAGCAAGCTTGCTGTAGACAAAAGTACTTCTACTGTCTCTTCCCTTAGTTCTGCAAATTAATATAAACATATTTATGCCAAGTTCTATATCTCACTCACTCTCTTCTATACTGATAATAAAGAAAGAGAGCAGAAAGATAAAGAGTTAAATCCATTGAAAAGAAAATTTTAGAAAGCATCAGTCAGCTCATTCTTTAAAAAAATCTAAATATAAATTGATAAATATCTGGTTTCAGTATCAGTTGACATGTGAGGTTTAATGAATTTATACTGTTGTTTATTTATAGATCTCTGAAACTTCATGTTTGTCTTAGAGAATCAAAGTCATGTTAAGTACAATGAAAAACATAGCATGAGTCATACCTATAGTTCCAGTATAGCAGTACCGCACAAGAGCCTGGAGAGCCTGTGAATCAACCCGCTCCAGAGTTATTTCTGTTAACTGTGATTCTCGTAATGATCCAGTGAACATAGCAGCAAAGTACTCACTGCATGATGCTAACATTACTTTGTGGGCTGGAATCCTGCAAAAAAACAAAGGAGAATGTGACGCCAATCCAGAATAACATTTTTGACTAATTATTTAATATTTTTATACCTTAAAAGTAACAGGAAATGATAAAGAAATGCTTTGTTTAGATGATATAAACATATAGGGTAAACCAGAGAGTGATTGCCCACTGGTAGTAATTGCCCACTTTAAGAATAATATTGTCAGGTGCTGACTTTGAATTACTCCAGTTAGATTTGAATTTACTAAGTAGATGGCTCCGAGATCAATGTACAGTTGATTTAAAATCTAGAATAGGAAACACTAAAAAAAAAACAGTTATGGCGGATTTTCTCAAGACGGGTGAAAATGTTACTCAAACAGGTAAAGACTTTAACAATTTTACTAAGGAATTACTTGCTTAGAGGTTAAATTTTTTTTGCAAGTTATTTAATATTCAACTAATGGTGTATAGTCATGATGAAATTATAAGTGTTTTCTCCATTATCAATGAAAATAACTGATAAAATTTGATTTCTAACGGTCATTTTAACGGTGGGTAATCACTGCACGTAAATCTGTATATTTTTAGTTATTGCCCACCATCATTTCAGTTATTGCCATATGTTAATGTATAGTTATTGCCCAGGGCAATTATTATTAGAGTGTTGCCACCATGCAGTAGCACTGTTTAAGTTGCTCATTGCTAGACTTGTTTTGCAATTTACAGGCATAAATATTAAAATGGCTTTTAATGTTTCATTTTCAGTATGCCAAAGACTCCAAAAGTTCAATATAGCATAGAAAATTTGCAAAAAGCGATCGAAGCTGTACGAGATATATCCAACAATTTATCTACAAGATAAATTGCTGAAAAATATGGTTTGGCTTGAAAAAATTGATAAAAATTCAAACGCAAATACAAAAAATGAAAATCCTACGTTTAATCTACTAGTGAAAATGTTAATTGTAAGGAAATAGATACAACTTTAGGGAAGAATAACCAACAGCTAATTGAACAATCTGAGCAACCACTTGAACTGATTATATCGAAGAAGAAAAAAAATTACATATAAAATTCAAATTTTTGCGTCATCTATGTTTTGAAGTAGATGATTCTGTCTCTACCGATTCTGCCTCATCAACATCAGCTCAAGAAATATTTGATAGTATGTTAGTAAAGCCAAACGCAATTTATTTTGAAATTTTGAAGACTGTATTACTAGAATTTAAGTTTAATGTTTTGTTTTGTTTTTTTAAAGCCTATTTTGTCATTTTAAAATTGATTATTTTGTTTTAAGATACTGGGCAATTACTGTGCTTTGATGTGGGCAATTAGTGTAAGTAATGGGCAATGACTGTACTTTTTGGAGGATTTTAAATTTATATCAATATTTTCTAAGTTACGTAAGTTTTAACTAAAAACTGTTAATATTCTGTTTAACAGTTTATTGAGTTATAAGAAAAAAGTCATAAATGGTCGATAATTAAAATACTTTCTTTAATTTTTCATCTCAATGTGTTTGAAATCTTTAAGTGGGCAATAGCTATACGGTTTACCCTACCTGCATCCTCCAGCAATTAGTGCGACGTCACATAATTTTTGAGATTGAAAATATTGGAACAAGTTTTTAAGTGTTATTTCAGAATGGCCTTTATCACAATAAAACTCATCTTGACTCGATGCACTTGAAAGGCTCAACTGGCTCAGTTCTCTCGGCAAACCCTCGTCGATCGAATTGGTAGAAATGTTATCTTTAGAGCTTTCTGCTTTTTGAGAATCACAACCTGACATTTTTAAAATTTTATTAATATAGAATCACTTTTTAATCAGTTCAAATTGAACTACGCAGAACAAAGCGACAGCAAACAAATATTTTCAAAATAGTCTCTTTGTGCGGCACAGCAACAAACAAACGCGAAACACAACACAAAACTGTCAAGTCAACTGTCAAAAAGAAAAAAAGAAAATAAAAATCTGCCAAAGATGTTATAAGAAGAAGAGTAAGGACACACTTTTGTGTGTATGTCGCTTTGCATTTTACACATCACTCATGAAGTACATCAGTGACATCACTAGTGAGTAATCTGTTATCTGTCAAAAGTGTCAAAAGCAGGGTACGGAAACTTCCATACTACGATCAAACTTGCTTCCAAACAGCGACTTCAGTCGATAAATTCCAATACTTTTTTTTTTTTCTTTATGGCTCTCGCGGATTGCGTTTAGCCACGACAGGGTTCTTGATTTTTGCGTTCAGTTTTGCCATAAGTTTTGCGGACATTGCGTTTAGACTGTTAGGATTATATTATCTTTGGAAGTGTATTAAATATTAAAAAGTTAACTGTTTCCGGTAGAACGTTCTTCCCTCTTCCGGCTATGTACGAATAAGATGTGTCTGTGTAAGAACCCGAATAATAAATGCTTATCTCGCTAACTATCGGTCTTTTCATTAAAGAAACACAAGTTCTGATAGGTTATGGGCCCAGACGCCCGTTAGTTAGAGTTAGGGAAAGTTTTAATTGTAGATTATTCGGGAAAAAGCGGANGAGTATGTCGCCGCCGCTATGACTGTGAGCGAGCTATTATTTGTGAGGGGACTTGCAATCGATTTTCAAGACAAAAGTGATGCAGTGTTATATGTGGACAATCAAAGTGCGATTAAAATGGTGATGAACAGTGAAAACACTCGACATTCGAAGCACATAGACATTAAATTTCATTTCGTGAAAGACATAGTTTGTAATAATATTGTAAGTGTCAAATATGTAAGTACAAACGAAAATACGTCAGATATTTTGACTAAATCACTGTGTAATATCAAGTTCAGTTATTTTCGTGAGAAGTTATTAGTTTTGTAGTGATTTCATTTAAAGTTTTGTTTACATTAATNTGACAACAGCTGCGTCAAAGTCGCAATGACAAGAAATAAACAATACAAATTTAAAATCATCATGTTAATTCAGCTTTAAGCACTGTTCTAGGACACTCAAATTTTGCAGTGTTATTTTTGACATTTTTGTTATTTCCTACTCTATCTTTTCTATATAGTTAGAAAGGACCGGCATTCGTTCTTTCATTCATCCATTCATAGAGTGTGAAGTTGGATACGTTTACATGTTTACCAACATGACATCACAAAACCATCGAATTATCGCTGGCGAGGAAAGTATACGTTAATTGAACTCATGGTATGATTTTAATGCAAACTTCATCGATCCACGTTTAAACTCTATCGACTGTAGTATACGAATACAAGTTTTCGATGGCAACTCATGGTAGAGGCACTGATGTAATATAGTGTTCTATCATATATACTTTACTCGCCAGCGATAATTCGATGGTTTTGTGATGTCATGTTGGTGAACATGTTAACGTATCCAACTTCACACTCTATGAATGGATGAATGAAAGAACGAATGCCGTTCCTTTCTAACTATATAGAAAAGATAGAGTAGGAAAAAACAAAAATGTCAAAAATAACACTGCAAAATTTAAGTGTCCTAGAACAGTGCTTAAAGCTGAATTAACATGATGATTTTAAATTTGTATTGTTTATTTCTTGTCATTGCGACTTTGACGCAGCTGTTGTCATGACAACAGATAACAAAACATGTTTTGTTGAAGGATTATTGATGAATAATTTTCCACAAAAAATTGGATTTTAACCACGATAGGAAAATGAGAACCTGCGCCTATCCGTTTAAACCGATTGTAGAATTTATGGAAAGGTAAGTTAAGTAAAAATAAACATACTATGTGGTGGAGGAATTTCGATATTAAACGAATAATTTTGAGCTGGTTTTTTTGGAGAAATACAACCTTTCCAGCATAACTTCCACGTGCCTAGCTAAAATTCAGTAATATGAGTGCTAGATTTATATTTTCTAGATACAATAAAGTTGTTTTTCTATAGATATGGCGATCTGAGTATGCCCACTGAAGGGCCCCAAGAAAGAGCCAACAATAGTCAACGGTGGGTGGAACTAACGGACACGCGAACGTGAAATGCTGATGCCACCGGCGACACGAAAACTACTGAGAAATTGAGAAAAGTGTGTATAAATACCTACTACTTTATTCATTTTGATTGCTTTTATCTTATTTCGTCATTATTATTTGTAATGTTTATTTGTTAAGGTGTGGAGTGACTTTAAACAGCAAGAAGAAGGCAACTCGCATACACAGAGCTGCCAAGGGAACACTGGACTGGTGGCGGTCCAGGTTCTTCCCTGAAGCCAAAGGATTTAGAGCAGAGTGCTTGTAAATAACTACTTGTAAATTAAATCCATAATAAAGACCTAGGGTAACTGGATGGATATACCTACCTTATTATTGTAAAACTTAAGATATTATAATTAATTAAATACATTATATTGTTTTAATCTTTCATGGTCACTAAACATACATGGTAGCAATCTCGTCAGTAATAATAATTAAGTAAATACATATCCTACTAATATCCTACTTAATATTAAAAATGCGAAAGTTTGGATGTCTGGATGTTTGTTACTCTTTCACGCAAAAACTACTGAACGGATTTTGATGAAACTTTACAGTATTATTGTTTATAACCCAGATTAACATATAGGCTATAATTATGACGATCTGTGACAAACTAAATTTCACGCGGACGAAGCCGCGGGCAAAAGCTAGTTGAAAATAAAATGATTAATTTTTATTGACTATTTATTTCACAAAACCTAATAGGTACATAATACACAGACTGATTAAAAACAAAAGTAAATTTCAACTTATGAAAATACATATTCATTGTCGGATTAGCTTTCTATCATGATCTCGTAAGGCTGCGTTTCCACCAGAGATGTGCGAGGATGCGTAGCGAAGGATGTGTTTGTAAAGAACCAATAGAATCGCTTCATTTACCTCGCCTCGGTCAGCACATCTCTGGTAGAAAAGGCTCAGGCTGTACAACACTAATGAGCATTTTCAAATCTCTGCTACACATCCTCGTACGATACATTTTCCTCGCACAGCTTTGGTGGAAACCCGCACACATTTTCACAGCACAGCTAGACATCTTCGCACGACACAATTCCCTCGCATATCTCTGGGAAACGCAGCATCCTCTCCCTCCCCCAAGGATCTCCACAATGTGCCCGCATCCAGGTTCTTCCCGCGACCTTCACCAGATCGTCGGTCCACCTAGTGGGAGGTCTGCCCACATGCTGATAACATGTTCCATCGTAATAAACTTCTTTCCGACATAATTTAATAAAGAAAACACCTAAAATGACCTAAAACCACAATTTTATTTTGCTTTTCACACGTCAATAAGCCAGTGAGTTACGTTACTGTGACAGCTAAGGTATTTTTCGATGACATCTTTGAAAATTGCAACTCATGGTAAGTTATTTGTATGAAACTTAATAAAAACTTTTGTCACTATCGTATTCATTTAGATAGGTTTTTTACCTAACGATTTGAGATGAACTCATGGTAGTGTTTTTAGTTTTGCTGTGGTTCAGCTACTAACCGCTAGAGGCGCTGTACAATTTGCCATACATTTTTTTACGCCCTCGATAGCGAGATGCTCGGTAGGTAAACTCATGGTAGAGGCACAGATGAAACATAACCTTGTCTCCAATCCACCATAAAATTAAGCGAGCATCGACACCCATAAACATCGCTAAGCCATAACTTACACCACACATTATCTGTCAAACGCGCCATCAATTTGCCCGTATGCAAGAGAACGATCATTTCCATCTCCGCCATTTTCTTTTCCACTTTTCCGCGATATTTGTGCTCTCGTTAACGCCGCCTGATTATACGCCGCTCGTTACGGTGTCATTAAAATGTTATTACTGATGTCCGAGATACCGTTTCTGCGATAACGAGCACAGAAAACTTTTCAGGTCTTTCTCTTTGACGCAAGATGTTATTGTAAAAAATGTTTTAAGATTTTTTATTATGTTACTCATATTTAATTTTAAAAATTACAATAATAGAAGTTTTTCTCATTACCATCAAGAATAACCTACACAAAGATGGGTCTAATGAGTGTAATTAATACCCTTTATAATTCCCTTTTAGTTCATGAACAGCTCTATCAAAACTGTTTTAATATGAGCCGGATATTAATCAAATGACGTTTTGCTCTTTAGGTACTACCATTTACCATATTAGGTCCATAATTGCTTGAATAAATTGAATATCTAATAACTATATGCTATTATCAGAAATATAATTATGGCTCACATTATGCAAGCTCACATGCGCATCGTATAATGTTGATAGCCGACTCTATCATGAGTAATTACTTAATTTAATGAATAATTAAAGATGGATATCATCATCACAAAAAGACAGTATAGTTTTAAATGTACTTAAAGAGAGGACACATTACTACATTACAAGACGTAGATACCGTTTGAGAGTCTGCTTTCGTTCGTTCGTTTCAGCCGAAAGACGTCCACTGCTAAACAAAGGCCTCCCCCAAAGATTTCCACAAAGAACGGTCCTGTGCCGCTCGCATCCAGGCACCTCCCGCGACCTTCACCAGATCGTCGGTCCACCTAGTGGGAGGCCTGCCCACGGAGGAGATCCGTAGGAGAACCAGAGTGACTGACATAGCCCGCAGAATCGCTAAAATCAAGTGGCAGTGGGCGGGGCACATAGCTCGGAGAGTCTGCTTTAGTCCAAGAAAAATATTTTATTTAAGAGACTAGTACCTTAAAAAGTAACATCAAAAGAAAAAGTGTCATCAATCACAGTAACTTAATTTAATTCCCAGAAAAAACAGCTTATTTCCCGCTAATGTGACACGAAACAGAAACTCCAGGAAAACTTTAACAGGAACGTTACATCCGTTACTGACATTAAATTCGCCACCAAAATATACGAATGACGTAACTGTTACGAAATCAGCAAATTGTTATGTAAATTAATTACTTGTATGAGTTTTTTCATTAATTAACAT